GACCTAATGCCGGGGGCTTAAGTGGAGAGGAAATGTTTTGAGAATGATGAGGGCAATGAATGTACAAATGTGCTTTACAAAATTGATGTATGTATGGATTGTGATAAAAGTTGTATGAGTCCCTAATAAAATGATTAGAAAAAAAAAAAGAATCGCCACCACTTAATCTATGCATTTGCCATACCATGGTGGCTTTATTTGCTGCGATGCTTGAAGCTATGCTACACCAGTGTTTCAAATGCGAGCAGGGGCACCCAGGGTGAACACATCTCCGTGGAGGTTCTGGGCTGAGAAGAGATTACAAAGCAGGAATGAGCCATCCACTTCTCAGGGGTTCATCACTGAAAACCTTATGAAAATCAGTGGAACGTGCCAGAAGATGCGCCCCTCGGGTGGAAGGCCCTCCGAATATGATGGGGAAGAGCTGCCTCCTCAAAGCAGAGTTGATCTGCATCATGTAGATGAAGGAGAGCTTCCAGGACTTCCATTGGCTGAGGTGACATGAGAAGAGAAGAAACGAGAAGAAACAGCTGCAAATATCCATTAATTATGGGAATGAGGGGTGGTTGGAGTATGCATCCAGGAAAAGTGGACATCATCACAAAATAAACTAGAAGGCATTGGTGAGCTGAAATGGACAGGTATTGCATCAGAGAAACTTATGTCAGGAATGGCACATTCCAGAGGAATGACAGCACATTCATGATCAAAAAGACCATTTCAAGAGAGATCTTGAAAAACGTTCTGTCTGTGATCAGACACGCAGCCGAAGAAATCTAGCTATTAGACCATTATTTAAATTTATGAACCTGAAGTAAACCCAGTGGTGAAGAAATTGAAGAATTCTAACAACTTCTTCAGCCTGAAATTGATCAAACATTGATAATTACTGATCATTGGAATGTAAACACTAGAAATGAAAATGGGTCAGTAGTTGAAATCTATGGCTTTGGTGATAGAAATGAAGCAGAAGATCATACGCACGGTTTTGCAAAATCAATGACTTCCTCCTTCCAAATACCGTTTTTTCAACAACAAAAATGGTGATTATACAGGTGGACCTCATCAGATGGAATACACAGAAATCACATCTGTGGAAACATATCAAGACATTCAATATCTTCAGCCAAAACAGGACCAGGGGCTGACTGTGGAATAGACCATCAATTGCTGAAATGTAAGTTCAGGTTGAAGTTAAAGGAAATTTTAAAAAGTTCACCAGAACCAAAATACGACCTCAACTATATCCCACCTGAATTTTGAGACTAGACTTAAATCATTGAACACTAATGACACTAAGGACGTGCTCCCCTGTGGGACGATCTCAAGAAATCACACGTGAAGAAAGTAGATGTTCACAGGAAAGAGAGGAAAGAGCAAAGTGGATGTCAGAAGAGACTCTGAAGCTTACTTATGATGTAGAGTAAGTTGTGGTCAAACGAATGGAAGAAATGTCATTGTAAATGGAAGAAAAGCAATCTGTAGCTAAAGAAATGGAAGAAACGGTGCCATAAAGAGCTCAACAGAACATTTCAAAAGGTAGCCCGAGAGGGCAAAGCAAAGCATCATCACAACACGGCAAAGACCTGGAGTTAGAAAGCCAAAGGGGAAGAGCCTACTCCTCAGTATTGCTCACGCAGAAAGATTTTATATATACACACATATATATATTCAAAACTCGCATTGAAGTATTGACAGATTCTGGGGATGAATGTTGAATGATATAAGACAAATCAAAAGAAGGTAGAAGAGTCACTGTACCAAAGAGAATTGGTCAACATTCAGTCATTTCAAGAGGGAGTATCTAATGAAGAACCGATGGTATTGAAGGACTAAGTTCAAGTTGCACTGAAGATGAAAAACAGGACGCCAGGAGTTGAGAGGATATGGATCAAAATACTTCCGACAGCACTGGATCATCTATACCAAGAAAATTTTAAGACAGCTACCTGACCAATTTATTGGAAGAGATTCATAGGTGTACCTATTTCAAAGAACGGTGAGCCAACAGAATGCAGATATTATCAAACAATATCATTAATATCACATTCAAGTAAAATCTTACTATAGATAATTCAAAAACGAGTTCAGTAGTATGTCGAAAATAAGCTGTGAGCAATTCACATTGGATTCTGAAGAGGATGTGGAATACAGGATATCGTTGATCTTGGTTGATCATCAGATTGATCTTGTTTAAAACAAAGATTACTAGAAGTTGTTTATTTGTGTTTTGTTGACTATACAAAGGCATCCAACGGTGCATATCATAACAAACTATGGATAATATTTTGAAAAATGAGAATTCTCAGACACTTAATTATGTTCATATGGAACGTGTACACAGGCCGAGAGGTGGTCATATGAACAGAACAAAGGGTTATAGTGTGTTTAAAAACCAAGGAAGGTGTGGTCAGGGCTGTATTCTCTCACCAGACTTGTTCAGTCTCTATGCTTAGAAAAATAATCTGAGAAGCTGGAGTATATGGAGAAAAATACAGCATCAAGATTAGAAGAAGGCTCATTAATAATCTGTGATATGCAGATGGCACAATCTTGTTTCCTGGAAGCCAAGAGGACTTGAAACACTTACTGATAATTGATACCCATGTACCTGCAGGAACATCTTATAACTAATACTTGGCATTTGCAGGCTGATTTGCAGTTTACAAAGTACTTCCGCAAATGCTATTGCCTTATTGGCACTCATGACAAACTGGCTAGGAAGAATGACAAGTATCTGCCACCATTTCCTTGGAACGTGGCGGCCTAGAAATTTAGCCATTTTTTCCTATGCACTTGACTATAAAGGATTAGGACACGGGGTTCTAATGACAACCTTCTGATTTCAAGTCCAAGGCATTTTAGAAGTTTACCGCATTCTCCCGGGCAAGAAGAGAGGAAACATTCGTGAGTTACTTGGTGCCTGTTCAAAATTCCAATCTACAGTCCTGGCATCCTGCTTTATGGCAGGGGTGGGCAATGCAAATCCAATGAAGGAAGCTGGGGGAAAGGCGATGGAGCCAAATGTTAGGTGTTTTATATTATGATCTCATTTCATTACGCCTTTGTAACATCCCCATTTTATAGAAAAAGACACCGAGTTTCAGAAACTCTATGAAACTTGTCAACACTCGCATAACTAGTGAATTGTGAAGAATGGATTAAACACAGTCCTGCCCTGCCCCCATAAGCATTGCACTCGGGACCACAGTGCGCATTAGTCTCATTTAGAAAAGCAGCTGATCTTTGCAGCTGGATTTAGGAGCTGCTGTTGCATAGAAAAGGAGAGCTGGTGACACAATGGGTTAAGCATTGGGTGGCTAACAACAAGATTGAAGGTTCAGACCCACCCGTGGGAGATAGAAGGTAAGCGGCTCCCATAAAGACTCCTAGTCTCAGAAACCCTCGGGAGCAATTTTGCCCTGTCCTGTGGAGTAGGAGTTGGAATCCACTTGATGGAGGTGGTGGGTTGGGTATATAAGAAAGAAGCCTTAGTAGTACCACGGTTAAAGTGCTCAACTGCTAACCAAAAAGTCAGCCATTCAAAGCCACGGGTCACTCCACAGGAGAATAATGTTTGTTGATTTGTCGGCTAGTTGATGTTTTGTTGGTTGGTTTTTGCAGTGTGGGGGAAACATAGGAGTAACATCCGATTTTAACCTCGATGCTTCAGGCAGGGTCAGCAGACAAGGTCCATGCAGACTCGTCTTTCCGTTGGCTCCATCCTTCCCAACACTTCTTCAAGGGACTCGTTAAAGTTGTATAACCTCCTCTTCTACACCGCATCTCATTCTCTGTAGAGCTGAGTTGATTTGGCTCAAAGACAAGGTCTCAATGAAGTGTTGCTTCCTATCACACCCATGGGATGTCCCCTTCTGGTGCTTGCTCATGGAAGAAAACCTATCAACTTGTAATGAAATATTCTGAACCCTCTGGGACCTGTCCTTTTCCCAAAGCATTGACTGGGGGAAATTGATAGCCTTTTTAATATTTTATAATATTACCCTGATTTTCCTAAAGCTCTTCTCTCGTTCACAAATGTTTTTAAGTTCATGGCTATATTTGACACCATACAATTCTTTTTCTCTTCTCTTCTCTTCTCTTCTCTTCTTTCTCTCTCTCTCTCTCTCTCTCACACACACACACACACACACACACACACACACACACACACACAAATCACTAACAGGCATTTCTTTCCCTTATAGGTCTTTGGATTCTGCAAAGCAAATTTGTTATATGATATAGGAGCCCCTGACTTGGAAACTCCAAATTACCTGGTTGTAAACTGTGACAGCTTCAACTTTGAGGTAGGCTGCTGCTAAATTAGCCATTGTCATAAGCAGACTAAGTGGGGCTTCTCATACATTGCATTCTTGATTCTTAGAGATCGTTGCAAGGGGGGAGGGAGGGCAGGCAATGCAGGAGCAGGGAGGGCAGGCAGCTGTGGAGATGTGTGTGTGGCTCTATTCTCTACTGCTGGGGAGCTTTTCCTAGTGCCACTTGACAAGAAGCCAGCTGGAAAATGTGAGTATGACGGGAGAGAGAGAAAGGGGCGAAAAGAAGAGCGAGGCAAGACCAGGTCCCTGGCTAAAGAGATGGAATTGCTGCTACCGCACAAAAACTATTCAAATGATTTACAAGAGTTGAGAGGGGTCATATCTTGACCAAAAAATGAGACCATGAACTTTGAATGAATTTGTAACGTCTCCACAGCTGAGGTTGAATGATTGCTCCCATTGATTATTGGCATGGAACCTAGCCTAATAACAATCAGCTTCAAATATATTATATAAATGTATATAAACTAAGATTCCAAACAGTATTTTACATTTTCCCTAGAAAACGTCTTGTTTTGTGGGTGAGCACAAAAACGTTCTTCACAGTGTTTTTTTTTATATTAGCAAAGCAACTGAAAACAATCCAAACATCCATGTGGCGAGTCTGACCTCCCCCAAAGGGCAGATTTGTTATCACAGGCTTGACTCAAATTTTTTTTAATTGAAATCTGACCAAAACGAAGAGTGAAGAAGCAAATGCTCATCCTTTAGGAGGAAGAGATAAAGGAGATACTTATTTCTCAGACCTCTGTTGCGCTTAGGAGATAATAGTTTCCAGATATTGTTAGCAAACAGGCGTTGTACTACAGCATCGTTTCACCACTGGCATTGAAATGAGACAAGGATAACATCGAGCTTTTCATAATACAATACGTATTCTATCTCAAGAACCAGTTTTTCACTCTCAGGTTCCCACCCCTGTTTGTTGCAAAAATGCCCTTCTTTTTGTGAAGTAACAACGGTGGTAGGTGAGTGTTTGTGTTTAAATTATGTGCCAACTTGGGGAGACAAAAGTTGACCATCCTTGGTGTTCTCCTTTGTGATTTGATTTTGAGAATTCAAACCTTTGGAGACTATGGAACTAAACCACTAATAGTAGTGCATGATGCTTTTCCCGTTTCCATACCCTTTACCAGGAGCAAAGAAACGTCAGTGGTGGACGGCAGCACCCTGACCAGCCGCTCGACTCTGGGAGCCATGAGCAGCCTCCTGCAGGCCGACATTCATTTAAGCCTAATAAATTCAGAGGGCACCCTCATCCCCATCAGCCACGTGAACTTGGATGCCCACCTCCCCTAGGAGAAAAAGGTGATCCAGAAAGTGGAGCTGCTCCACCTCATTTAGGGTCAAGATGTCACCGATGTCATCGCCCTGTTTTTGAGCATAATCAGACTCACGGACCCTCACACAATCATAGTGAGCACCATGGACACCATCCCCATGGACACCATCCCCATGGACACCATCCCCATGGGCACCATCCCCATGGGCACCATCCCCATGGACACCATCCCCACGGGCACCGACCGCATGGACATCCTCCCCATAGAAAACATCCTCCTGGGCGGCACTCCCAGGATGAGGATTTCCATGGCCATAGTCCCTGTGACCCACCACCCCACAGCCAAGGTCATGATCATCAGCCGCGTGACTCACCACAAAAACAGTCAGAGGAAAGGCGTCCAGGTAAAGGACACTTTACATTCCACTGGAAGAAAATCGGGTATGTTTACCGACTTCCCCCACTAAACAAAGGGGAAGTTCTTCCTCTTCCTGAGGCTAATTTTCCAAGATGTTCAAACAATCCTCTGAAGCCAGAGATTCAGCCCTTCCCTCAATCAGCCTCCGAATCATGTCCAGGGAAGCTCAAAGACGATTTTCTACACATCCAGACATTTTTTGAAACTATAGCTCCAAAATAAAAGGAGATTTCCTTGATGGAAGAAAACAAATCATGTTTTGAATCAGAACTCTAAATAAAATGTGACCAGTAATAAATGCAAAAATTACAAGTTACCTTACTTTCATATTCAGAATTGGGCAAAATATGGGTGGAAGGAAATAGCATGAGAAGAGAGCGAGAAATGGAAAGGAGACAAAGAGAATATAAGACGATAGTGCATCTTGTCTGTGACCACTACATCATTTGAGGCAAATCTCCTATCCTCAGAATTTCTTTCTTTCTTGGACTTAGTTCTTTAATTCTAGAGCTTCTTCTTCTCCTTCTCTTCCTCCTCCTCCTCCTCTTCCTCTTCCTTCATCTGTTTTACTGCTTATGCTATAGTTGGGATACCAAGAAGGTATATATCACTTAAAAAGTATTATAAACGGTACCCAAATTATCTCCCACTAGATATTTCTTGCCACTCAAATTTCCTTTAAAAATGTTATATGTCCAATTATGAAGCATAATTTTTTGGTCTTCCTGGACCTGGATGTGACCTTTATCTACTCCCCATTCAACCAGCCAACTCTACATTTAAACACAAGAATAGTCACTTTATTTTCAGAACAAATTCATTTTTATCTCAGATTGCCACTCTATTGTGCTCATGAGAAACCTAATCTCAGTCTTTTTTGGAGTCCTGTAACTCTCCACACAAGGTGGTGTCACAGTTCTAGAATCCCACAGAGTGGCAAGGTATCTGGTGGTGGGCACAGGTCTGATTTTCGATCATTGGTTCCCCAGGGCTTCATGGCGGAGGGACGCCCACCATCTCTCCCCATCACTCCTTGGATCTAGTTTATCTATTTGTGTCTGAATAAAACGGGAGACAGGAGTCTCTCTGACACTACTAATGGGTAAACTAACATCTTCCATATGATGATAGTGTCCTTTGCCTCAAGAACCCCCAGCTCTACTTGTCTTGGTGCCCTCAGCTAGGGACTCTCTCTTTGGAGTCTCAGAGAAGCCCTTCCTTATTTACTTTGGGATCAGAGGACACTTTATCCGCACTCTAAACCTCTTTCATTTTCCTTCTTCTCAAATCCAAGTTTAAGCATTTACAAATAGGCCAATAAAACTTCAGCTTCTCTCAAACCTCCAGCTAGTGTGGTGACAATCAATATATTTTAAAATTAACATGGCACAACACTGAATGACCAGTTATAACAGCTAATCTGAACCACTGAGAGCCATACGCAAACAGTGCGTTCATACTGAGTGGTACCAGTTTGAATGTGAGCCCTGCAGAATCATATACTTCCGTGGCAAGAAGGCAGGGCTGGTTGCTTGAATGAGGAGTCCAAATTGCCAAACCACAGCTATGGAGAAGATGCCAATTCACAGATATCCTATAGAACAAGGTAGAACTGCCCCAGTGGGTTTCTGAGACTGTAACTCTTTACTGGATTAGAAAGTCTCTTCCTCTCTCAAGAAGGCTGGTGATTTCGAACTGCTGGTCTTGTGATTAGCAGCCGAATGCATCCCCACTATGCCACTCAGGCTTGTTAATCAGGAGTAGAGAAAGGCAAAGCCCATGTCCAGACAGACCAAAAACCCACACAGGCTAATATCTCAAGATGATATCCTCCTATAGAAGCATTTGAGAAATGTTTTATCCTTCTACAAAGTACTTGGGAAAATATTGCTTAAGTTGATGAAAGTATTACCTAAAAAACATAAAAGGTGAAGGCTCTCAATTTATATCAAATAAACACATTCATAATATATAAACACGGTTGCTTCAAGAGAAAGTCATGGTAAGACACAGTCCCTAACTTCAAGGATCTCACATGCTACTAGAGGGTTCAGACAACACACCATGAATGACGGCTTTTCCAGACTTCCTGTGCCAGAGTGGTTACAGAGTCTGTGAACGTTTGTTTATAAATACACAGCCCATTCACTTCCAAAGGTGATGTTCACAGGGACCATATAACTGAATGTCTCAAGTCCAAACTCCTCACTCTCCAGAAACTGCTCTAGAATATGTCTTCTTTATTTCTCATCAGAACCCTTTGTCTCAGTGTTTTTCCATTAATAAATCTGCCAGACAATACACCTTTATTGCTCCTCTTCCCTTCCCTTTGCCCCCAGGCTTTGTCTGTCTGTTAAAATGACGAGCATGAAGACCACATGGCCGGTCCCACTATGAGACATGGCATCCCTCACTGACCCACAACCCTACAGGGGACAACATGGAGACACAGTGTAGGAATTCCACCTGATCTGACCCCACCACACTGAGGCAAAACACCAAGGGCGTGCAACAGAACAGCAAGGGGAACAGAGCAATGAAATCCCCAGGGAATATCAGAAATAGACTTTGGGGGCAAGGCTTGATGCCCAAACAGACTTCACTGGAAAACACTCCTAAAGGCCAACAAATAGTCCTTGAACTAACTACAAGCTTTTCTTTCTTGTTGTGTTTTGTTTTGTTGTCATTGGCTTGTTGTTGTTGTTGTTGTTTTGTTTTATTTTGTTGCTTGGTTTTGCTCTGTCTTGGTTTTGTGTATGTTCTTTATCTCTGCAGTTCTGTCTAAATAAGATAGGCTGGATGAACAATCTGGAGGAATAAACAACAGGACCGACAGTTCCAGGGGGACATGGGAGAGGGGGAGGTGGGGGGAAAGGAAGTGGCGTTAACAAACCCAGGGGCAAAGTGATCCAAATCGGTGGTGAGGAGGGTATAGGGGCCTGGTAGGCCATGATCAAGGGTAATATAACCAAGAGGAATTGCTGTAACCCAAATGAAGGCTGAACATGATAGTGGGACAAGAGGAAAGTCAAAGAAAATAGAGGAAAGAGCTAGGAGGTAAAGGGCATTTATAGAG